TACAGTACATAATAATAAAATTAAATAAATTATAACAGCGCCTGTTGTACAATTACCTGTCGTTGATCATTTCATTTGAAACTAAGTTAGTTGCGTGCACAGTCATTGTAGTGACTCGCACTTCGAGCATGTATTCATGTACATGTAACTGTTACTTTGAATGCACATGTGCAGGATTGTATTGTACAAGTACAGTAGCTGAATCTCAACCACTGTGACAATACACCTAAAGAGCAACGGCCTATTCTTTGCGAGTCCTTTGAAGTGACAGTCCGAAACCGTTACGTTCTTCTACGTACTTCTCCCTTCCCCATAATATTCTCCTATCTGAAAAGTGATGTTATCAAATGCTAGAAAATTGATCCATTTCCATTTGCTTCCATGGAATTGTATTGCAAAGTGTCTCGTGGTGACACTAGTGTTGATAATTCAAATAATACATGCATACCCTATACGTAAATGTACATGTACCCATTTTCCGTTCTGGTTTAGTCATTACACGTATTAATTTATATTATTTGGTGCAATACTAGCGCCCCTTTCTCGCACCAAATTATTATTTTTGCTACCTGACCATGCAACCCCCCCCCCCTTTTTCGATGCCAGGTTGCAACGCTAACGCCAAGACCCCTGGTCGGTCGAGTTGCTCCCTGTACATCGGCACGTCGTCCCTACATCCCCTGTGTCTTGTCTTGTGTTTGTCTCCACATGTCTCTATGTAGGGCTGTGTTCCCAATAAAAAAATTAAAAAAAAAATAAAATTAAAAACCTGCTCTGAAATGTAGTGGTACACCGACATTCAAATGGAGTTTTTCTTTTCTTTTACCTCGAATGTTTTTTGTACAATCTGTATCACAATTTGTGTGTTGGGTTCAGCAATAAAGGATATGATACGTTTGCATATACATCAACCTAGCATATGCTTGAGTTTCCCAGAGTTTGCGTGGACTCCATCCAGGACTGATCTACCCTGATTGACACCATGGCATATTGACACACCATCACACACACACACAGCAATATAATAATTATAGGCTACGGAGAGGCCGTGACACAAAGGCATGATTGAAAATGTTGATACAACACTCCGATGATCAGCCACTTGTCTGTTGTAGCTCAGCGTCTGCTTAAACCCCTCAAGCAAGCACTAATCAAATCCATTAGAAGGCCAACGGAATGGACCCAGAGCAGTTCGCGTCAAGGTTGGACATTCTGTCAGCACTTGAAATAAGGAAGGAATGGAACACATAACCGGACGGCCGTCAAGTAAGGGAAGCCTATGGAATCCTGCTGCACATCACAAAAATATCTGCTGACTAGTCTGGTTGTGAAAATCTGTGATTGCGCAGTTGTAATCTGATGATCAGGTATGATCCCAGAGGGGATCATAAATTTTTGCTTTCACGGTCATTATAATGCTTGGAAATCACCAAAGCTGCATGTAGCTAAAACAACGAGAAGATCCATGTACAAAAAGGCAAGTGTAAACGTTCAGGCTTGTGGTGATGTGTTTCACGATCCAATGCTTCCCTGGGGCGCCGGCAATGCCACAATGCCTAATTACGCTACTAACTCACACATTGCTTGACACTTTACCTTCCGCGTGAGTGTTGGGGTGTGCACCGCGAGAAGCAGCCAGTAATCGCTTGCGTGATTAGCCAATGACCAAGACACGAAATAGGTATCATTATTGTTTTCCCAATTACTGCGCTGAATCTGCTATGTTTTCCCAATTAATTATAATTGTTCACACCTACAATATACATGTACATGTATGCGTAGGTAACGTTCATGGTTGTGCATGGGCTGTTGTAGAATCATTCCTTGTCATTGCACCCAACTGCTTCCACTACGAACACTAGCGTACTCATCAGATGGATTGTGGTAGAGCCACCTGCCGAGCGGCTGCAGTTTGTGAGGACATGGCGGTGAGATCATGCAACGGCTAAGTGCCCCGTGTCACACTCTGTAGTGTTGCAGTAGAAGTATGGAACAGCCATCGGAGTATGCAAAGTTAGTTATGTTGTATGTACATGTATCTACACGTACCCTGATCTGAAGTCCCAAAGCAGAACAGCGTTGGGTTGGCAGCTAACAGTTGTCGTTGGGATCCTTGAACCCGTTTTCCATTCCTGTCACGTCATCTTGTTCAAGATTTCACCCTATCGCGTATACCACCCGTAGCTGGGGAAGCTTCTACTCTACTCGAGTGGCGCCACACTTCTTATCATCAGTTTGCAAAGGGTAGCACTGGGCCTCGACAAGAGTTACGACCCTCTGCATCAATCAGGTTTCTTGGGGCTTCTTCTCACCGATGGAGATCAGAGGCAAGCCGACTGGAGGCCGTAGACACAAATAGCGCACCAACCGCTGGTGACACTCAGCAATCACAACCGAGCACAGCTCACTGGTCTTGTGCAACGGACGAGACAATTACTAGTATTAGTACACACAGACTCGTTAGGGTATGGCATCAGCAATAGGATTGGTGTTACAAAGGTATGTGTTGTTTCCCTGCCAAGAGAATGGTCGGAGCGATCCTGTACGGAGGCACACTGGGCTGTGCGCAATCGGCATTTCACTTTGCTTAGTTGCATAGCATAATTTTAAAAAAATACTTGACGCCATTAATTTCATTCCAGCGGTTCAAACAGTTGTCCCTGTGAGATCTCTAGCATCCTCTCACGCTACACTTCAGTTCAGCGCAGGAACTTCCGCCAAGGAGCGTACACGCGGTCATATCGAGACTTGGAACAAAACGGTGAACGCTATGAGATCAAAGGCACCACCGGGGGCGCCTTTTTGTCAACAAGTGTAGCCGTGTATTTAAAACGACCATGTTTCCAATGTTCAGGCAATGGTCACGTACAATGTTGATATCGACTGTGTTTATGATTGTGTACCTCGTCTCACACACAATACATAACGTATTAACGACTTCATTATTTGCAAGAGAAGCAAGCCCTTGCACCCAGCTAGGGAGTTCTAAGGAAATCCAAGCGCATACAATGCACCTAAGAGGTGGCAATAGTATGATAATTCCATGGCACTAACCGATACCAGTTACAAAGGAAAGTATCATGAATTTGGGTGTCACCCTACAATGGGAGTGCTGCAGTTATACCTTATCACCGAAGACTAGTTTCTATTATTGCAACCTACTAGATGATAGTATCAACGGTGTATTTTACTGATGCAGACTATGGTAATAGCCGGCCAGGCGTAGACTTAGACACTATACATGTACTTGCTATTCCTTTGCATACCTACAGGTATAATTTGATGCCTTTCGGTGCGTTTCGATTCCGATCGTAGCCCCAAGGCACTACCGAAGCAATCTGCGAACAAACCCTGGAGTCCAAACCTGAACTGAAGGACCTGTATTCCTTGATGGTACGAACGGTACATGGTACATGGTGAACCTGCAGACATTTCGACTCCACGGCACAATGGACAGGAAGCCCGTTAAGGTGGCAGACGGTTTTCGCGATGTGTCGGAACAAGACTCTCAGCAAAACTCTGTTACGGCTCGTTCGCCCCAAGTGCGGGTGAGTAGTGTGCGCCGTAGGAGACCAGCCTATGGCTATGCAGAGAAAAAGACAAAAATGATGCGGCAATGAGTTGTGACTGCCAAATCTCGTATTTCACAACCTTGTCATGATGCGAGCGTGTCTCGGTCAAGATTCTACAGTCTACAGTGGACCTGAAACGTTATCCAGAGCGAGTTCCAAAGAGGCTACAAATCATGTATTGTATCTGCTTGTTCAAGCAAGCGCGCTCGTGAAACCGAAAGTCCCCATATTGCGCACTCGACGACGGGTAGAAGCAAATAAGCGACCCTACAAACAGCGTCCTCTAGAAACGTCTTTTGCCGAAGTGTGCGTGTAACTGGAGACCACCAAGTCTGACGCATATACAGTCATGTACATGTACATGTACAGTACATGTAGGTCTGATTTGTGTCCCTGTGCTGCGCTAGATCTGATCCTACATCAGTACAATAATCTAGTCATGATGATATGACTACTAGTACATAATCATTGTATATCTACAGTCATGTACATTGTGTACATTGTGTTCGTCTTTGTGCCAATCATTGCGAGTGCGACGGCACAAATAATTTTGTTCAATATCGCCCACGTAACGTACGTAGCAGCATACAGTGTACAATGTACATGTAAGTCACTACAAAACTGGTACCCCCACGCACAGAAGAAACTCTGTGACAAGACATTTGCACCTGCCCTTCGTGTACGTGTAGTTAATTGCCAGAACTCAGTTTCTGAGTGAATTCTACATGACAGCTGTGCGCTGGTGGTGCAAAGCGTCAATGTGAAAAGCGCTGTCAGCAGTCCCGACACTTCCTGAACAATGGTGTCTTTCTAGGAGAACTGTGTTTCCCTGGCCGGCTGGGTGCCACACTTGAAAAACGTGGGAATACTGAGTGAACCCTGAATCGCCCATCGTCCGTCTGAATATCCACTATATCTTTGACGTGTTTTCCACATGGATTTGCATATGCAGTGTACCCTGAGGCTTTGGGACATCGAATAGGACTTTAACCAAGTGGGCTGTTGATGCCTGTGTTGTGGGACAGCGGGCCGACGCCGTTTCCGATGGATTTTCCGTGGGATTGTGTCAAAATTCCATCAACAACAAACCCGATCCAGACCGTATACGCGAACATGTTTATAATGGTCCCGATGAAGCATCTTCAAAGGACAAACATGCCCCAATACATAATAAAGGTGTTAACAGTGGGCACATAATGTACTTTGGGGTCAAGTAGTTGATTTAGATTTGTATTGTTCATCATTACGCTGTATTTTTTTCATTGCTAATGCTACCAAAATTACAATCATGTACTAGTACAACGAATACAATGATTGTGTGTTGGATTGCGAATCAACATTTACTGTCGTCGATCTGAAAACATGGTTCGAGAACCTCGATACTGGGCCAGAGCAAAGCAACAGCAGTTCATGTCTAATGTACACATGTACATGGAGTGGGGCCTGGAATGGAGGCGACGTCCATCTCCTCAAATACAATGTAACAGCATGTAGAGCAGCCCCTAGATTACTCAGCATTTCGATCGTCCACGCGAGCTTAGCGCTTGGAGCGGAGTACAGCATGCAAGCAGCGGAAGTTTTCACCGCCAGCCGAGGCGCCGAGCATCACTCCGACAAGCCTGCTTGGGCATAAGCCCTACCTAGCCTTGGGAGACCCTGGCCAGCACATCACTACGGCATCAGTACAAGACATACTCGAGCAAAGGTGGAATACACACAATATGTTTGGGCGAACGGCCCTCCACTCTGCTCGCCGCGCATAAAAACGTCAATCTTCAGCTGCAAGTGATCCAGACCAGCGTGACACGAACAGATTGCATTCGTGGACAAACTAAAAAGGGCCAATTAGCAGCCGAACAGGAATATCAGTACATTGCAGGCGAGGAGTTCAGGTGACTAGCTTCGAGTAGCCGATGTCAGACTCAGTGAGTGCATCAGACATCTGTCTACATAAGTGAACTTCTCAGTTTTATCACCTCAGTACTGTGAACTGTCTCGTCCGTACACCAGTAATGGTACTGCCCCCAACAGATGATAAGCATCTACTGTATCTCAGCACCACCAAGTTAGTGCCGAGAGGCGATAGAATTGGGCATCGGACGTTCAGCGCGAGAGATTGTAGATTTACATTGTACATGTACATGTATGCGCATACATTTGTATGTCCGTGGATTGTTGCGTCTTCTGGTTTGCGATCAGAGAAACGTGCTAATTATTGTGTTACGCGCACCGCTAATTAGGCCTGGTGTACCAGCCTTCGTCGATCCTCGGGGCAAGATCGCCTCTGTCCATTTGCCACGCTGACACGTTGTGAGCGTGATTGAGGAAACACTCCGAGTAAGTCTCTCCCATCGGGATACCACAGTTCCATCTTCCGACCAGCGTAGCAGATTTCCGCCGGTCGATCGCCTTCGCGAGGTTGCAGCTTTGGCTCGCTGCTCCTACTCCTGCTGCACTACACTACCATACAGGTGTCGTTTGAACACGTGACAGCTTTGGATTGAATTATTTGCAGCTGAGTGGCTGGATATAAGCCCATCTTCTTGACTGTTTCTACCATTGTTGAATCGAGACATACAGTGGCTGGATACATAGCGAAACGGCTGCTTCCACAGGAGCAGTGCAGGAAGAGACTCCTGTAACCACATGGTGGATCGCAAGCTTCGGCCGGTGCTGAAAGTATCCTAAAAGTATCGCAGCCTTCAAATCGAATATTGTCTATGTTCGGTCTATACAAGGCCGGTTCATGCAACAAGTACGTGCCAATGTTCTAGACTGCTCCGGGCGACATTCTCAGTAGTGTGTCCAACAACCTAGCCAGGACCCGTTTTTCCTGCGTCAGTGCAAATTTGTAGAGGCCAACAACACTCTGAATGCAACAGCTCTGAACGCCGTCTCGCCAGCATTGTGAGCACCGAAAACCGTGTTTCTTGCAAGTGTTTCTGCACTCTCGTTATCATTATTCCGTCCCCGCCGACACGCCCGTGTGAAACACTCAGTTTGATCAGCTTTGGGACAGCAGTTAGTACGCTTGGAGGGTGCCCGCATACGACCAGCAACAGCGATACTCTACCCCGACACGGTAAGAACTACAATCATCTACATGTAGATGTAGATGTTGTTGTACAGTGGCGATAATTCAATCTCACCAGTTTGAAAACTGTGACGGACGTACATGCACTCCAGGGCATTCAGATGCTGTGCATAGGATACATGGCATGATCTTTTGTTTAATTAAATGGAATACTTCGTCAAATCACAGGAGAACCATTGCCGCGCAGACTTGATTAATGTTTGTTAAATACGGAGTGATTCTCGCGAGACAGCAATCTACAACCTGTTATAGCCTTCAATCATATCGATCACTGCCTGTAACATAAGAATTCGACTAAATAGAACCAAGATGGAAGAAGGTGCTGGATGTAGCTCAGAATAACAGTCTATAGATATTGTAAGCAATGTTGGAGGGACAGAGTATTGTATGGAGGTGCAACCTTCCAAACATGGTCCGTGTGAAAGGCAATTGATGCCGGATGACTTGGTGACTTGGGCCAGCCACAACTCATGAACTCTCACAAAAAGGTAAACGAATTACTAGTATTGGTATTTCGTCCTCACCTAGGTACCCAGAAATCCACCGCTGAGTACTAGTAGTACGCCATTCTCTCCAATACAACCTGTGATTTTGCACTGCTCTGTTAGTTTGAGCACGTGCGAGAATCGTTCAAGCCGTGACGAACTCTGTTATGCTTCGCGAGTGAAGTATCTAAGTGGCGGGTGAAACACGCAAATGCTTCTGCTGAAGCAATCATGCTGCTCTGGCACATAATCATTGTGCCATCCAGCGGTGGACTGCTTCCCTCTACTAGTACAAGTACTACTGACTCTAGTGCTTGTGGGACGTACACGTACATGTATCGTAGAATGCAATTGATTCGACTTGACCTGTGTAAACGACTTCAAATGTTAATCATGAAATGTCAGCACCATCTCCGAGGTACCTAGCAGTCTTTCTCTAACTCAGTGGGGAAAGTGCCTTTCGGAGCCCGTTTGATGACCAGTCGAATTAATTATCCATTCTGCATGACAGTTTAATAGACGGAAAAGGCATTAGCATCGATCAATGCAGGGCTTTCCTTTGGGAAGCCAGCATTCAGTACGATCAGTGGAAGTGGAGCGAAGACCCGTTCATGCTTCTCTGACACCGCCAACGTCACTGGAAGCTAGTCTCACAGCCTTTACTGATTCCAATGGAAATTAGAACGGGTGGGATGGGTCCGCAGGGAAATCGCCACAAGTGCATTAGCACTCCCCGCAGTGTTGGTCTACTGGAAGGCTTTGTTTCTAGAAACCTTTGGGCGATTGTCGAGAGACGAGGTTAACGAATCCTGGTCCATGTCCATGTACATTCATTTTTAGTTTGGCAGCATATTACAAGGCGGTAGAACACTGTGTTCGGAAACAGTGAATCTAATACCATGAACATCCATGTACTAGTTATCTGATGGACAGTAAATGTGGGAATACAGTGGCGACATCGACTCGAACCAATGACATCAACGAGAATAATCTCTTGCATTGTTCCTATCGCCATAGGTCTACTGAATGTACCGCACAAGACACATAGAAATTTGATCATGTAAGAGGCCCACGGTGTTTTGCCGAGCTGATATCAGTAGGTCGATCTGGGCAAACAGCTGCAGCAGCTTATCACCTTTAGACCGTTTCCGTGTGTCTAGTACTGTAGCAAGAAGGCTGAGTTTCTTGAACAATACTACATGACTTGTAGCACTGCTTCCGAGAGTGACTAGTGTGTGTGTGCCGACAAAAACTATCCTGGCGTGCACGCGCGGAAAGCTGCAGGCGCTTCAGTGTGCTCTTGAGGCGCAGAGGAATGCTGAGAACAAATCGCTCAAGTGCTGCTTGAGAGCGGAGAATTAGGTAACATGGCTGCAGGCAAAGCTGGTCAAGTGGTATCTCTGAGAGCTTAAGTTCGCATTAATTAATATTTGTGGAGTATAACACACTATCCTGTAACTAGCCGTGTGATCTTCTGTATGCTGTAAGCCTCCTTTAATCTTTCATCTGTACGAATTCAGCATGGGTAAATCCCGCGCAATCCCGGAAATAGAATCGCCAATTCGGGAAAGGAGATTTCACTGAAAAGATAAAAACAATCTCAGATATTCGTAAGACTGAGACTTTAATGTTGGACCACAATCAATGCGTGGACGCTTACAATCAGATAATACTAGTACTAGGGAGATCACAATGCTTGTTGATGGAGATTCCAGCTGTGTGCATAGTCCATAGGCGCCAGAAGCAGTATATTCATTTTACTCATTACCTGGCGTCATTAGCACCTCATAACGTTTCATTCCATCTTCGCATCAGATGAAGGTGATGTGGGAATGCGTTGTGACCTCCCCTGTGTGACTATGCGCAAGGTCAAGTCATGTACAATGTACTATGTACAGTGTATGTACAAGTACCAGTAGATCTACTACAATGTAGTATCACCTGGCGTCACCACTGGTCTGGCGTATCGTCCATATCGCCCCCATTAACATTCTCTGAGAGACAAGAGAGAATTCATGTCACATTGCACATATGCTCTGATCCGTTATCGCTCATCGCAGCATTTCCTGCGCTCCTGCAATAGCAATAGCATTAACATGTTCAGTGACCATTGGTCGTCACCTACATGTTTTCACTGGAAACCGAAAAACTGAGTGCCAGCTATTGGCAGTCACCGCCAGACAGGAGGGCTTTATGTCACACCGTCACACTGTAACTGATAGCGCCGATCACGCGACTGTCTCTTTCTCCATTTTCCACACGCTGACACAGCGACACTTATAATGTACGGCATTCACCGTTTATTGCATGCCTTATCGATATCAGCGACTTTGATGGAGTCGGTTTCATGTTGCCGCGCTCCTTAATATATACGGCACGCGTATGATACAGCATTTTTCCTTGAGCAGGACTACTGACTGTCTTGGAATTGTATGGTCGATCATACTATCACGATCAGTATCAGATTCTGTACTAGTGCTGGCCTGGATGTTGTGCCACGCATGGAAGATCTCCAATGCTCTCGAAGCAAGTAGGCTGTGTCACAACAAGGCCAGCATACATCACTCCTCAGCCTCCGGGGTAGTCGCTCGTTGTCCTAACTCTAGGCTTCTAATCCAGGGCCAAGTGAACTACCGATGTCATCATGGTTATAACATTCAAATACAATGAACCTACTAGTCGTCGTACTGGTGTGATTTGTCACAGCGAGGTCATTGACTTTTAGGTGATCCACATCAACCTCTGACCCTCACGCATGGGATCTTAGCGCTGCTCGTTGTTGGGTTAAGTCATCAGATTCTTCCAGGATCGATCTAGAATCGAGGCGCAATGGCGCTAGTGACCGTATGCATTTGTCGTGACATTTAGTCATTACGATGCACTGAGTCTTTGAAGTACTCGACTGTATGCGAAACTAAAGATAACAGAAAGGTGAAAGAACAATCAATCGCCTGCAATTGTACAATGTATGGACGTGACTATTCCAAGCCTAGTCTACCATCAGCCGCTGACTCATTTTTCGGGGGATACATCCGTATGAAATGTTTGCTTTCATCTTGGGATGATGCACGTGAGAAACTCTTGATGAAGGAACACAATGTACAATGTGGTACGTGTATGTGATGACAAGTGTAAGACATTTTGGTTAGAATAGTGCAGTTAGAATAGTGCAGGTGGAAGCAGGACCCTCTTCGGTACTACAGCCATGTTTCTCCTTGGGAAGACCTACTGTACATGTACATGTAGCTAATAACACGTATTGCCAGTCGTTGTGCTCTACCTGTCATTGGATACTGCCATTACCGGACCAACTGTTGTGGTAGTACAGTCAACCCATGAGTGTTTTGCATGCACATACATGTACGACCTTCCATTCAGTACAGGATTAGTCAGGAAATGCAGTGGCTTGTAGTAACGGAAGCATGACAAGTGGCGTCACCGCCATCCCATACATTGTACCATATCATGACATGTAAAACGCGACGCGAGACGATTTCTTGTGCTCACGTGATTGTCAGTGTTTAGCCTATAGCTAGTCTAAACTGCGACCACTACACTCAGTCTACACTCAGTCTACACTCAGTCTACACTCAGTCTACACTCAGTCTACACTCAGTCTACACTCAGTCTACACTCAGTCTACACTCAGTCTACACTCAGTCTACACTCAGTCTACACTCAGTCTACACTCAGTCTACACTCAGTCTACACTCAGTCTACACTCAGTCTACACTCAGTCTACACTCAGTCTACACTCAGTCTACACTCAGTCTACACTCAGTCTACACTCCGTCTACAGTACCCCATGGTAAACCCTCCACTAGCATCCTGTTTGGCCGATTGACTGCGGAGTTGTGGACGCCGTGCGATCCGTTTTCCCTCCAGACGCCACCACCTGCCATCTCTCCCAGTGCAGGCCAAGGAGAGTGCCACTCATGCTGTAGACGGACCATGCTGACGACCAACAGAGATGATGATATTTGTCTTGGAAGATTCATTAGACATTATCACATTTGCAGTTCCTGTTCCTTCCTTCACCAGCACCGGTTTGCATGGGGACGATGAATGAAACCAATTTACCAGCTGACAATCATCAGAGCTCGATATGATGTTAGTGATCCTAATAGACTTTTCGTCATCAAGGCCGTGTTATCTCCCGGTTGCCATTGATTTCTAATTATTATGTATTAACCGCTCTCTGTCCGGATTGAGCACCCACATGTACATGTACATGTATTATTATTTTTTACAACCCTTGTCTCATGGCCTTGTGCCGTAGTTGTGGCGTGCATTTTAGGTTCAGCGACAATTATGTCACGTTTTCAGCCCACGCGTTTCGGTCTCTTCCTGCCCTCGCGCACACCACGACTTCGCGAATCTTGAGCAATGGCATGCTATGGAGGGGCAGATCACTCCCTGGCACAGCATGCGGCAATGGCGCTGTGGATAGGACCGTGAGCAGCTAGGTCTCGAGCGATGTTTCCAGCACTGACTTTCAACCTAATCATCTGGGGTATCCACTTCTCACGGGCTGCTTGGGTGTGAACAACGAACAATCCAGGGAAGGTGGGAGGACTTGTCAAAGGTTTTCAGCTACATGTTCATATCCGAGCACAATAGGGGATTCGTCCCGCAGTCGAGCTCAAGGTGGCCAACGTTGTTATTGTTGATGTAATTGATTCTGTATCGTGCAAAGAAGCCTAGAAGAAATATTGCTCGTCCGTCCAGTCTGACCCGCTTTCAAGAGGGAGCGATTCACGCCTTTCGTGGGTAGAGCACTACACTCTATGTGCTGCGTCCTTTGCACTCGCTAAATCGGTTAATCACCGGTGCTGGCAAGGCTCGGGGCATATGTTGGCAAGCTCCGCATGCTTCTCGCTTCAGCAGCCTCAGTGATTCCCAGTAGCTCCGTTATAGTATGACACATAGTCACTAGCGTCCTGCCGTGTCAATAAAGACCCCCGCGCGGATAGTGGTCGCATCAGAATCAGGATTGGCCAAGTGGCCCACAGACTCTGAAATATTTCGCTCCAGTAGTTTTGCCCTTGGCTGAGCCAGACCACTGCTGTGTTCCGAACCGACTGGCAGTGCAGAGGCAAGCACACTCTGTCGCGTTTCAATCTCAACTCAACCCCCTGAGCAGCGGACAACGGGCCATTCCACTGGTAAGTGAGCACTTCATGAAAAATGGCTCTCCGAGAAGTAGAGTAGTGTTAGATGCATGCAGCCATGCCATGCATGCCATACGATCTTACGGAGTCGCCGTCACTCCTGGCACTGCCCCCGAGATCTTGTCGGTACCTTTGGTCCCGTTCTGCTGGCGTCTGCGTTCTAATCTGCTCGGACAGAACACTAGTAGCCGAGTACTAGCATCTTTGATGGCCCCGTAAGATTGCGCCGATTGATCTATGTTATGTGTAGAACCCCAGTGGATAATGCCTGCGCGTCTGGGGCTGGAGCATACATGGTTAACCGGTCGCGGAGGGAGGTTTGGTGGAGTCGAAATATGCAGAAATAATCCGGATTCCTCTAGTCTGCTGTCCAACTCTCCAATCCAAGATTCACCCGTGCACATGTTCGCGTGATAATTATAATAACCCCTTTTCCACAATCTTTAGAAAGCAATTTCGGCAGAACAACGTCAAATCGACACAAGCAGTAGATGTGGGAAGGCCTCTTCTTGTGTGCAGTCACTTCTGGATTGTTTGCAAGCGTTTAAGGAAACGCTCGAGCTATTATCGTGTGAATCATTGCCCGTTTCTTGAAGTAACATTAGTTACTTGAAGTTACTTGTCAGTTGAAGTTGATGGAACATTTTAGTTCTCGGAGGAAAGTAACGATTAGTGCAGCACAGGCGAACATACATGTACATGTAGACGGAGCGCTATCTGGAAAGGATTCGAAACGTACATGTACAAGTAGGTTACCGCGCTGGTCGTTGTGGAAATGTTTCATTAGCCAGGACTCTAAACTCTAATTATCATTTGAGAAAACTGAAGAAAAGGATCTGTTATGGCCTCTGGTTTGGAGCTCCATCTGATCATGATTAGCCATGTTGTAAAACGTTCACTGTACAATGTAAAAAGTTTCTGATGTTGTGAGAAACGTGTGCTCTTCATCTTCCCCCATTCTATGTCAGTGTCAATGTCTGGCCATGACGAAGCTGATCTAACTTTGAAAGTTGGTACAAAGGAAACTATTTGGCCACCCATACATGTATTGTACGGTGTATTTGTATTTTATGGGTTCTCCACACGCCTTAGCCTAAATCCAGGGAGTCTCCGTGTATACATGTTCAATGTATGCTGTGACTTCTTGTATCTCTGGATGTATACCTGGATTTGTGCAGAGTATGTTACCTGATGTGGTGCGGTTTTATTCTTCTTATGTGATTGTGTTGCAGACATCGGCTCAATATGGCGGCTAGATTCAGCTCGGCCCACCTGCGGCATGCAGTCCTAATTGTAATGGTACTGGTCGTGTTCTTGACCCGGATAATTTCCGCTCTGCCCACACAGCTCCGGAGTACGGCCATGGACGACAGCGGTAAACAATTCAGTGCTCACAGTCCAGATGTGGCCTTGCTCGTCGAGTCCACCGCCACCATATTCAACATGTGTCGGCATACCAACATGTATCGCCGCGAGTGCGAATGGCACAAGTCCAAGATCTCCAAGATTCTGAAGCGCATTTTCAAAGTCTATGACGTGAGCACGAACGAGACAACGAGGTTACGGATACGCGAGGATGCGCTAAGCACAACTGTGAACGCCATGGTATCGGAAAACAAGATAGCTCTGCTGGAGCGGGCCAGCCTGCAGGTTATGTCATTCTGTGTGCTCAATCTGTCATACTGCAAAACCGATATGGACTACGTGCTCCTAAACTTCGACCCCGCAATTCGCAGAGGGTAGTGAGGCTCTTGGCTGATCAATCATCGCCCAGCCTCTATTTCCTTGTGTGTCGCCATGTTAGGTTAGTAGGTGTTCTTGTTTGTTTGATTGCCGTATCGTCATCGCCAACAGACTTGAGAGAATTCTGTAGAGTGTTTTTTATACAACTACTGACACTGTCCAGGGATCACAATTATTATTATTACTACTACTAGAGATTAGTTTGTTGACCAGCATTACCCGCGTCACAGCGTGTGTTGTATTTCAGTTGATCTTGATGACGGATTATTTGAGTTTCGAACACTGCGCCCCATTCAAAACCCGATTTGTCACCGTCCACAACTTTATAACAGTCTTGAGAGAAAATGACGAATTGCATACCTCTATTCCGTTTATATCTAGACCCCGAAACACTTGTCCTTTTACCACTACATGTATCTGCTGTACTTGGATTTCAGCGTTTGGAAACTTTTCTTGTGCAAGTGCCGGTACTAAACTGACGATGTGTCGTGAATCGTGAACACGAGAGTTTATCCACAGAATGGTGGAAGCCTTGGCTCACGCTCAATCTGGGATAGGCATTGGCGGATAATGCTCGAAAAGGCGGCAGATTCTGTTCGAAAAGCAGTGAAATTGGCAGAACCATACAAACCTTATGGCAGGCAATTCCTCGAATTCTGCTCCATTTCTTCATCCACATACCAAACATGCATGAAACTTACCAGAAAAAGTAACGAATTCTGCCAATTTTCTGCCGGTATTATCCGCAAAGGCCTTATCTGGGAACTAACTGGTAAATGGTAAAGCGGGCTAGACTGCAGTGATGGGAATGAAATCCGACATCATGCTTACTAGTACACGTAACCGCTCGGCAGTGACCTCTGTTGCATTCGTGTGGCTGGATTTCACTAGTCTTAATGGCAGTATGACTGTGCAAAGTAAACTCTCTCTGAGTAAAGTAAAGTAAATTCGGCACGTCTGCATTCCCACTTCGGGCAGCTGATTGCGATTGTGGAGAAGTGAGGAGACGATAGCACCAGAGATTCTGATACACACACGGATGGTCAAACGGGTTACAGCGATATCAATAATAATGTATAATACGATGAAGAAAGGTAAAGGACAAAATGTTACGAACATTCGTAACATTTTGTCCTTTTCCTTTCTTCATCATAACTATATTGGCTCACCATCCGAGTTCAAATGTATAATTACAAGAGAGATTGGAAGCTTTGTCACAACTCTGAGTTTCACGTATTACTACGATCATCAGGCAACTGATGGGTCGAAAACGGGCAGCCGGAACATAAGGGGGAGCACGGTGGGAAATTCTGAGGGGTATCATAGCGCAAGAGTCAGGAGCAGGCGTGAAGTTGCCAAGTCTTCAGATTTGGGGCTATGCAGCAGCAGTTCCGGCGTGAATGATAAAGAATAGAATAGTGAATAATAATAATTCAAAGAATCTGTCGGGGAAGTGAACTGCCTGAAAATAGCAAAAAATACCAGACCCACCAGGACGCGAACTCGGGACCTGGCCTGTCATTAATTAATTAATTTTTTTTTTAAACTTGGGCCAGTATGACCATACATGTTTGTACGTACTACAGTATTCATTTCGTCTTGGGTGTTAGACATGGGGAAGTTGGCATACAGGGGTGGTGAGCCCGCATTTTCGGCACCGGGAATACAGCTCGCTCGACTCTGTCTCTACTGAGTGAAGTGGACCCACACCTTGATCTGGTGAGCTGCGTCATGGGGATTTGCAGTCAGATGGGCTCGAACCCGCGATCTCAGGCAATTGCAAGTGCAGCACACAGTGTACCACCGGGGAGCCCCTTGCGTGTCATGAGCAATGCTCTAACCATCTGAGCTATGGGACTGGGCTCAACCAAGAAGGCGTTTTCAAGTAACGTTTTCACTCCAAAGGCGAGGGCCAGGGGGGGGGGGGGACAAGCAAGGTCCCGGGCAGTTCGCTTCCCCGACTGAACCTTTGAATTTGAAGTTCTCCCAATCCTTCCAAAAATAATAATGATAATAATGTTAAGTTAACCCAGCTCGCATCTTCCCTGAACCTGTTAGACAGGAGCAGGGTCGAAACATCTGTCGACAGTGTCAAGCTAAGGTAGTCAATCTCCTGCAGCCTGGAGAGCGCTCTCCACGGAGAGATCCACTGCTGTCGGGTCGTGCCGAATCGTATCTGTCCTCCGCAATGGTGGTCGGCCACGTGGTTGTTTTATATCGTTTGCGTTAAATTAATGGATCACTCCACTGCTTGGAAGGAGGCGGATTCTGGACCCTTTCGCACCACATGGCCAAACCACAGCAGCCTGCATCGTCAGCATATGGCACTAACTGGAGATAGTTTTGTTTTGTGTATAAGTTGTTATTGGTGATGCGTTGCGGGTAGACAATCTGCAGCAGTACGCGTAGCTTCGTCCGTTGCCATTTGCCCAGTTTGTCGTGCAGCAATTTGGACAGTCCACAATCTGCAATAGTATAGAAGGACCGAAATCAATGCCGAAATCAAATGCCGAGTGATTTTTCAAAATCTTAAAAGACATACCATAAATCTGGGTAAAGCGAATAGTTATAAAGATGGTGCAAGACAATTACATATATAATTCCATTCTCCGTCCAGGCTCTCAGCTGTACAATGACATAGATGTTGATTTTGAAACACTGTGTAGTGGGGAGAGAGGGGCGATATCTTGCAGGTTAGCCGTATGCATGGTATGGAAGGCGCTATGGACTTCTCGTTTGCACTGGATGGCAGTCAGCGGCGTCAGTTTCAAGTCAAGTCAACAGGATAGGCGCGCGCTCGCACTGATAAGGGAGCACCACACACGTGTACTTATAATACTGTATCCGGTTTGGGCCGCTATACCACACTCCACAGGGGCGTAACCATTGGTAACTTCTACACCTTTGTGGCTCTCACCGCTACATTGTGCCCCCACTAGTACAGTGAAACCTCGTTAAGAAGAACACTGATAAGACAAACTTTCGCTTTAGAAGAACTAGTGTTCATAGCTCTATTCGACAAATCACTGTGTATTCACTGGGTATAAAATATGGATAAGAAGAATTCCCGTTATTACGAACAAATACCATCAGTCCCTTGGTGTTCGTCCTAAAGAGGTTTGACTGTATTCGCATTGACCTTAGCACTATTAACATTACATGTGCCAGTAAGACAACACCATGCACGTAGCTTAGTACTCAAAACGGGTTTATTCAAACAATACGACATGGAAAGAAGGAAGAACACCAAAGATACAAGGGATGAAACTCGACGATGAAATCAAAATGAAAATTTGAAAAAAGTCTAATCACTCAAGGCAAATGTAACAAGGTTGTGGAAAAGATTCAACTCAATCCCTAGACAAATGCTTTGAAAGATGTAAAAGTGTGCATGAATGATTCACGCCATAGCTTCACACCATAGTTTAGTGCTGGAGCATCGCTTGCCATAAGCCAGGGACCCTCGTTCAAGTTCTCGTGGTGACAGCCTACACTGTAGCCCTTAGTGGATAATGATCGAAAAGGTGGCAGATTCTGCTGGAAAATCAGTGAAATTGGCAGATTCTGCTGGAAAATCAGTGAAATTGGCAGATCCTGCTGGAAAATCAGTGAAATTGGCAGATCCTGCTGGAAAATCAGTGAAATTGGCAGATTCTGCTGGAAAATCAGTGAAATTGGCAGAACCATACAAACCTTATGGCGGGCAATTCCTCGAATTCTGCTCCATTTCTTTATCCACATACATGTACCAAACATGCATGAAACTTACCAGAAAAAGTAACGAATTCTGCCAATTTTCTGCCAGCATTATCCGCCAAGGCCTGGTCTACAGACAAATGTCTTCAGACTTTTCCCTTTTGCACCTTTAACTCAAACTACTGAGTGCTGTTTATCATTCATACAGTGCTGGCAACTGAAATCTGACCCCCTGAGCGGTGGGTTCACATTCTAGCGGTCTCTATTAAAAAAATTCGTAGTTTTACCATCCCGTGTTGGGTCTTTGCGATGTGAGCGCAGCGCTCAGGGGATCGGATTTCAGTTGCCAGCACTGTACTTTACGTCATGCATGGGATCAGCATATTAATTTTACTACTCCCCGAATGCGACCGTCTCGGATACACTTCCTCATTCACTCCAGCACCACACGGCAGCAGCGTGATTTTATGAGGCGTTTCGTTCCTTTTCTAGTACCAATGTCACTGGGATGATCACGGCGATGGCGGCGTGCGAAGCCGAAGCCATAATCTAGCACCTCATTTCCCTTGGCTCCAGATAGAAGAGGACAAACGCGAAGATCATTATCGTGCTACAAAAAAAAACCCCGCATCGACCTACTGTTACTCAAGTGTTAGGTACCCTGCGTGTTGTGTAAGACTTCAGTCAGCAGTGCTTGCCTTGGTCCGCACTGCCACAACTGTTGTACTGAACTGCTGGCCCAGCTGAGTGGAAGCAAACATGCCAGGTATTTGTTGTTTAGACTGGCTGAAGAAGGAGTTCGCCACATAATTGGTCGCGTGTACTAGTCTATGGTCTACTGAGTCTGTGCATACATGTACATGTAGATCATTACGGACCATTCTTCAACCGTTTAAAAGTATTTCGACGCTGCTCGCACTGCATGATTTCATGAAGCAAGGAACCTGCGGATATGCGCTGAACTGAACTGTCAGCACCCAAGGTTAGATCACCATGTTGGTATAAATATTATACATTATTATTGTCATGTAGTCCGCTCCTGTGCGACGAATCTTCCTCGTGTTTTACATTCTCCTCCTCGTCTCAGTACTAAAATAGGGTCCAGCGGTCAAGTTACACAAGAACGCAGTGAAACGGAAGAGTGGAAACAACGACAGACAGCCCAAGGAAAAAGATCCACCTGCAGAGACAAAACACAGTGCCAAATGGACGGCAACTGACAAATCAGCTCTTGTGCAAAGCAACCGTCCAAGTAACCCGAGAGGATAGACAGAAGGAGTATATCGGTCTTACGGAGCCAGCATTCAAGAAGAGACACGACAACCATTAACATCATTCAGACGTGAGAGACATGACTATATCAAAGTGTGTCTGGAACCTGAAGTGTCAAAAATACTCAAAATAGCGAGTACAGTCCTGGTTGGTCTACCTTGACTAGAGCAGGCGTACTACTGTCGTGGACATGGAATTGGAAATCCGGTCGCACGTCTAGCGGCCCCAGGGCGCTGGCTATGCAGCCGTGGATAAGCGGTACACACATGGGTGTTTATGCGCTGCATGCAGCGCGCTGATTGCATGGGATCAACATGCACAATGCACGCAGTGGTCTGTACGCGCTGAGGGCGCCGGCCCCGGTCAATCGACAGGATTTCCATGTCCGCCACAGTAGGAACTACAAAAGTGATACAGGAGTTCACATTTGGGATGAATTTGACGTTCCCCAGAATCCCCCCTACCATAGAAGATAAGAGAGATGGAGACTACGATTGATGCAGACAAAGCC